AAGCCCAGTGATAAGTAGTTTCTATATACCATGAACCTCCAAGTAAGCCCCTAAACCTTAAGCCCTAAACCCTAAACCTTCAACTCAAAAGGCTAACCTGAACCGGATGCATTTGCTTTCTAGTTTCCCTATAGGGATCCAAGTATACAAAAAATACCTACGTCGGGGCTCTCAAGGCTGTAAATATTACCTACATTGGGCCCTACCATGCCCTACCTACTTTGGGCCCTAAGGTCTGTAAATACTACCTATATACATTGGGCCCTAAAGTCTGCGAGTTTGCTTCAAAGTCTGTAAAGATTACCTACATGGCGCTATTTGGATCCCAAGGGTGTGTCGTGGTCTTAACGACTAGACCCCCAACCGCAAGCAACACATTGGAAAACCTTGGTTAAGCCCAGGTTTATCCTATGATCAAAGCGCAGCTTCAGCACGAACAAGCTCCCCCATAAACCCTAAACCCAAGGGTTTGAAGCTTCCAGGTGGCGGCGTAAAGGTTTGGGGATCTACAGCTGGAGGACGCAAGGATGTGAAGCAGCGAAAAGCTTCCGAAGCACATAGTGCTGCTGTTGTATGAGAGTGCCTACTTCAAGGGTCAGGGGGGCCTAGTAAGTCTACTTACGACCCCTACAAGGCTCATCATGATCCCAGTTATCCGCATTACTCACCCACTTATTATGTCACCCTGACGTAGGATTTAAGGGCGGTTAAGCTTCTGAGGGTTCGAGATCAGGCCCCTTCCAAGTTGTCAGGATCACGCCGCCTGTAGTGTTTTTGGGCTTCAGAAGTTCAAACCTTACGAAGGTGTGTTGAGGTCGGAGCCTTTGCAGATGGCAAACCCTCAACCCACTGAAGCCCAAACCCTTCAACTCCCTAAAACCTGAACCTACGGCTAAAGGGCTTTGGGTTTAGGATTTCGGGTTATGGTTTAGGAAAAGCCCAATCTGCTTCACTTCTCAAACATGCCCAAGCAGCTTTCGACGTAGTTGGTCACGTCATACCTTCGAAGCTGCTCTGCAGTTGCGGTGGCGTGTGGTTTAAGAACTACGGTGGATACAAAAAATCCTGCATGACCCTAAGCACCATATACCTTGGGAATTATAGTACTACAGTATATTGAGGTCATGCAGGATTTTTAGTATCAACAGTAGGTTCCCCAGTAAGCCCTTAACAATAAGGGTACCCTTTTTCCTAATAGTCAGCTTTAATACGGAGACCCCAGATTAAAAAGGGGAAAAGGGTACCACAGGGGTACCTAGAGAATTGACTTGCCCTAAACCCTAAACTTTGAAGCTTAGGAATGACTTGGCGGTGCAAAGACTTAGTAAATATTTTGAACTGGGCTTGCGACCTTACTTAGTTTAGGGTTCAGGGTTTAGGGTAACCCCTATAAGGCCATTTATGAGCAGCCTTAGAAACCCACTTACAAGTAGTTACCAAACCCCATGATCCTCCAAGCATAGTTTCTCCTTGGGACGGGCTCAGGGCTTAGGGTTTAGGGTTTAAGGTTTAGGGTTGAATGTGGATATCCCCACCCAGGATTCTGTACGAACACCCGTGAGAAACCTCACATATATGTTTTAATATCCAAACCTACCTTTTTGGCCACACGACCCTCTGCAGCAAACGCTGATCTACGTAAACCCTCAACCCTGTACAGCTTAGGGGTTCAATCCTGAAGCGTGAACTGGTTGAGGTGTTAAGCCATGGGGTTGTTGAATCATGTGTTGCTAGTGCAAGGGGGCAAGAGCATTACTGTAGGGTTGGGGTGTGGATGTGCAATGTTAGAAACCAGACTTTCCTGAGTGTTAGATCACAATGGGTAGGTAAGAATCCAAGCTTCCCGAGCTCCTCTCACGCCAGGATCCCTTGTTCCTGCTGCAGGCTTGCTCCTGATGGCTAAAGTGGCCTTCGGCCGTGTTAGGCCACGGGGACAGCGCCACTCATAACGCATGCACCCACTCTGTAATTTGTAGGCGTGGGCCGGGCACAGATTCTTTGCCGTTGCTACATCAGGAACATGCCCACACACCAAAACATCCTACGGTGACTTTAAAGCCTTGGCTTGAGCAATGGATTCTTCTGCAAAGAAGAAAGATGCCCTGACACCATATGGCAGCTTGAGACGCCTGGCAGACAACACAATCATTTTCTACAACATAGTGTTGGGGTCTTGAGCAAAAAATACCCCAAGCCAGTACCCTGTTGCGCTAGGATTCCTTGCGTGTGGTCTCCGGAAGCTGGGCGTATATCCAGCCACAGGGCGTGGCACTAGCAGTGAGTGGGTGCTTCACTCTGTCGTGGGCATTCAGAGCGAGACTCATGACGTGGCCAAGTTGCAGTCAGCTGCACGCACCTGAGCCGCACAACACAAGGGCTTTCTGCCATCAAAAGCTGCGCAGTGTCTCTCTATTTTTTGGGTACAGCCTAGGCAAGCAGAAGGCGACAGCGTTGCCTGCATGGTCAAACTATCATGAGCTGATTTGGCCAGGGTATAAAGTGCCGACACTTCTTGAACCCTTGACAACGTCTAGCACTGCTCGGAATGGACCTCAATTTTTCAGTGAGCAGACAGTTCCTACAGGATTATTGTTCAGCATTCTGGCATTTGGGCTGGGTAGCAAAAAGCGCCAGTTGCACTACAGAGCTCTTACAGCAACCGGCTTGCTTGGATTGACTCGAGCAGCTTGTCAACTTGGCACTTTCAAGCTGGTCACAACCCCGATTGGCCAGCCTGAAGCTTTTGCTTGGCCAATGCCACAAGACACATGCTTGCCACTAGTCTGTTACGTTCACTCGGCCACGGAGAAGACTATGTTCACGGATACATGGTCTTGGGAATCACAGGCCTGTTCTGTTTCCTAATGTTTGTAGAAGCCTAGCACTCCCCCAGTACTCATCTTGGGTTCCATGCCCGGCAACTTGGTAGACTTGTACAGCTCACTCATGATGTGTCAGGATGCCAAGCGGCCCTACCTGTGTGGAACGGACGCTGCAAATCCACCACTTGGATCCTTCTTAGCCTTTGCCCTCGACCCGTGCCCTGGCTTGGTATGCTGCGCTAGGTTTGGCTTCGTGCTTGGGGTGGTTACTTGGAAGCCATATGAACTTGTGATTTTTCAGGAGCCACCACGACGAGGATGACTCCAACTCAACACTCTTCAAGGACCTCAGAGGAATGGCCTATAGCATCCTGTCACAAATGGCAGCTTACATTGAACCTTGCCAGCAACAATCTTAGCCTGACATTCACAATCGATGAGGTAGGGCTAGTAGATCCACAAGAGTTCTGCGCAAAACCCTGCCCAAGCGAGCCACTGTGGTAGTCACGGACATGTTGTTCATTAGTTTGCTTGGCAAGGAAAAAAACCTCAACAAGTTGTGCAGCAGCGAGACGAGCTCCAAACTGGGCGACCAGCGGCGAAGGAGATTGAACGTCAACCCGATGGAGACTTTCCGGATAGCGGAGAAAGTGTTGTCTGGGGAGGACAGGGTTGCAGCATCATTCATATGTTTTTCCATGTGTGAAGTGCTCGGCAGTGCACCTGTCAGGAGCACTTTCTGTCTGCGGCAGTGAAATCTGTGTGCCCCGATCACCGAAGTCCTGGCGCCTGTTCTTCCTTCGTGGCTGAGCGGTACTTGGCTACATGTCTGCATGTGGTGAAGCGTTATCGCTGCCTACTCATGCTCATGGCTGTTTGCGCAAAGCTTCACTCATGTGGGAACCTGCCATTCTCTGAGTCAAATGTCTCATTCATTGTGCTGCTACACTTAGGCTTCCCATCTGCGTCTTTGCCGGAAGAAGCTTCATGGAGAGAACCACGTGCATGCTACTTGTCCGCTTTAGTGTAACCACGGCGACCATCTGTTCAAGCTCAGCAAGTCTAGCGGCACCAGTGCTTTGCATGTGCCCGTGGACGCAGTATCCAAGGTCATGTTCGACGGTAGCAGCATCGCCAAAACGCCAACAGAGCTGTACCACTTCCACAGCCACGAGCTAGCAAAATTCCGGTACTTGATCTGCTATGGTGTTAGCCTACGCTTGCAGCCCTCCATGATAGCTTTGAGGTTCCGGGGCCAACGTGGGCACGCATGCGCCACCGATAGCCAGGGCCCAAGTGTGAGTCACGGAGCTGCAGATCAACCAGCCCATGCTAGCCTCTGGTGATTCGTTGTTCTGCTAAAGCGTGCCTCTGAGAGATTCTTGGTTGTTCCTGTCCACACTGCTCAAGGGATCAACTGCTGACAGAGGGTCAGTGGAAGGATCCAGCGCAAGTCACACGAGCAACCGCTTCAATGTGTCCTCTCCACTCCTGTTGTCTAGTCGATGTCTGCAAAAAAAGCCTACAAAGCTGACGTGATGGGGATCAGCAGGGATGGACGTCATATGTGACATCAGGTAGTAGTCTAGTAGTGTCTGATTGCAAGCCCTGCCTGTGCCAATGGATCTGGACATGTTCAAGCAAGATGGGCAAGCCACCTCCTTGGATAGATCCGGTACCACAGCATCGACGTACATGCAGTCTGACATGTCAGTAGATCAGGAGGACTGGTCTCAAAATCAATCTGTTTGTTTTCTGAGTCCAGGGGTTCCACCAAAAAATTCTCCAGTGCTTATAGGTCGCCGGGAATCCTGGACGCCAATCGAACACCGCAGTGAACCTGTGCAGGAGGGCAGCTTCTCACGTCTGTCGTTGGCGTCCGGCTCCTTGCAGAAAGCGTGGGAGGTTGTCCAGGAAGAAGTAGGCCCAGGTTGCCTTCAGGACAGGGACATGTTGTATAGTCGAGTAGGCTTGCGCAAGCTACTGGACCGGAGTAAGTGCGACACACACTTCTTCTAGATCATAGCAGGGCTACACACAGTCATGATTGATGCCAGGTAGGTTCCAGCTGCTTGAATTGAGCTCCTTAGAGCCAGGCGCTTGGCCTACTAACTATTATTAGTTGCTCCTGACTGCTTGGAGGATTCCTTTCTGACCCACGCTCGGACCGCCTACTCTATGTGCACGGGGGCAGCTACAGCTGAAATGTCACGCAGTGTTTTGCAGAACCATGTTCGGGCATCTGGTTATGACATGAAAATTGAGACTGTGGCCGTGTGGGACACTTGCCTGGACATATTGCCTCCCAGGGTTCTAAGGTTCTAGGCAAGGCGCTCAGATCCATTGGAAAGTAGTTTTTTTTGGACAACTTGTATGGCGCATGGGGTGGGGCACCAATTTCTCCAAGAATAGCGACCCATGTTGTGACAGTTTAAGGAATGGAGCGAGAAGTGCCACCCGCTCATGGTGAACAATCTCCGGTGGTGCCAGGAGGTGACAGGCTTTCCGGAACACCCCCACATGTTCGTGGACATAGAGGCGTTGAGCCCTAGCAATTGCTACAGGCCCGGAGCATCCTACAAGCAGAAGAAGTTCATCATCATGTCGAGTTGGCTTCAAGCGTCCTCGCCGTGTTTGAGCTGCTGTGAGCCGCTTTGTCGCGTCCCTGAAGCAGATTTTGGGATAAGCGGCCTACCCTGCACTGACATGTCAGCAGCTGGGCTACGCCAAAAAAGGCATGGGCCAACGAACAGCGTGTACATGAACCACGCAAAGTACAACAAGAAGATGCGCACCCCTCTATTCATCGTGGAGTGTACGCCAGACCCTCGTTCTGAACATAATATCAAACCCCCACATTCTGGAAAAGTACCCCATTCTTTCCTGGTAATTTGTTTTTTCGGAATGTCAAAGTTGTATTTCGGAATGTGCTTGTCATGTGATACTCCCTCAGGAGCTGGACATGGGAATGATGGAAGACTTGCACTCGCCTGACTATGAGTTCTATCAGACGTTTTGTGAGCCTGCGGATGTAGGGTTCTTTGGAACTTCCCGAAAGCGCACATACGTGTTTGGGGCTCACGTTGAAAGAACCTCCGTGTTGCACGACCCTTTGGAGCTCCATGACAAGGTTCGTGGGGTCCTGTCTCGCAGGGCACAGACACGGCCACGTGACTACTTGATTGCCACGGACCTCGAAGTACGTATGGAAGCACAGGACTTGTGCCGCAAGAGGGGCGTCAGGTACCAAGAGACGAATCGAGACCTGAGCTATGTGTTAACCAAAAGAGAAGGTGACGCCCTCCGTGAATATGAGCTTGAATATTTCAGACGGACAGGGGAGTTGGCGAGCCACAATGAAGACCTCCTGGTGTGTCTCGGGGATAACCCCTCCTTCTCCTTGACCTGGAGTCTGAATGGCAAGGTGCCATGCTACCGAAAGGGCCACGGCCTCTTGTGGAGTCCGAAATACGCCCGCTGGGTCACAGCCCGTGAAAGGCTGTGCAGTATGGCGTGGCCTGTCCTGCCAGCCATCGCCGACTCCCTCCCAGCACCTTGCGTGGGAGCCACCGACATCAAACGAGCCAGCGACTTGGCTGGAAATGCGATGCACTTTATCAATGCTGGTGCGCAACAGCTTCTCGGACTTGCGGCTTTCGGGCCGGAGTGTCCAATGATGATCTAACCTGTGGACTCCAAGCCCCAGCATGCCAGTGTGTTCACGTCTCACGTAGTGCATGTACAGACCTTGCAGCTAACGACAGTTTTACGACACGAGCTGATTAGTCAGAGACCGCAGCCCCGTTGTCATCAACAAGCAAAACAATCCGTGAGTGGTGCTCCAACGCCTGTCTCAACTTTCCGTTGCTGACATGCTTCATGCCAGAACTGTCATGGGTGGTGCCCACTGATTGTGCTTTCCTTTTTAGGCCTCAAGGACTTGTGGACTTTGGTTGTTGTAGCTAACTTGCTCACTTGCCCCTGCCATGGCTGCTGAGAACAGCCTTGTGGTTTGGGGTGAAGAGGACCCCGCGTCTGACAGTGAGGTGTCATCAAGCTCAGGGTCGTCGAGCATTCAGCAGAAAAGCAAGGGCAAGTCCAGCAAGCACAAGGTTGCAAAGAAGACGAAGAGCAAGGGCAAGAGAAAGCCGTCCAAGGCCGGGCCACGCAAGCCCCGCAAAACCAGCTGCCAGAACCTTTCCTCGAAGTACACCACGTGGAAGAAAACACCTGTTCCACGCTCAGTCTTCGTACGCCATGTTGTCAGAAAGACGATGAGCAGAGCACGCTGTCTGACACACTTGGAGGGCAGTCAATTTTGACAGTCCGGCCTGAAAGTAGCCTGGAATGTTATGCATGTGTCTCAGGTTGATCACCTGAAGAAGTTTTTGGCTGAGCTAAAGTTCACCGAGACGAATATGTCCTACCTGAACACTCTTTCGGAGTCCTTCATTCGGAGGGCATTCTACGGGGTCTTTGGCAAAGCCCCATCAATGCCCACTGACCAGAGACTTGGCTAGAGATAGTGCATTGTGGCATTGCATCTGGGTGGAAACAGGCCTGTTGCCTCCATGACGCAGTGAGCGCATGAGCCCTTGGAGCTTTCCAGCATGTAGCCCATTAATTTTAGAAGCCACCCACGTCTGCTGTTCTGCCAAGTACCGACTTCAAGATGCAGTTCAAGGCCCTCTACGATGAGTATTTGAGGTTGGGGCAGCCGCTGCACACAAAGAAGCTGAAGCAGATAGTAGATGAAGTAGATGTGGAGCTCTCAAAGCATCAAACGTTCCAGTTGATGGAAGCTGAGGGTGCCAAGGGCCCCAACAACGAAGTCCAGTATCTCTGTAACACAACACAGAAAATTTCCTGGTGGGTGCCCACCAACCGCCGCTTTGATAGCAAGATCCACAAGCGCACTGACGGAGTGCCGTATTTGTATGAGACGTCAGCTGGGTCCAGCGTGTACTGCATTGACCTGCAGAAAAGCTTGTTGGGAGCTGCTGAGGCAGCAGCACTGGCCAACCAGCCGCCTCTCCCAGGTGAGACTCGCAAGGACCACACGCCTTTGCCAGGCGCCACAACACACGGGGCAGTGCCTCTTCCGGGCGCAACGCTTGCCACGACTCCTGGCTACTTGCATGAGTTCAGTTTACGTGCCGTGACTGTGTGAGAGGGGTGGCAAACAAACAGTCACCCTCATCGTCATCAGAGTAGTTCGCCCAAGCTAGTGTGTACTGAGCAAAAGGGGGGGAACGTTCAGCAAGGGTTAGGGCCGCAGATCATGATTAGGTATCATGACCCATTTCATGAATCCCAGGTGTTGTTCCCACGGTCTTGCCGGCTTCTGCCAGCACGCCTCTTTGTGCCTGTGGTCTGCAGCGAGACGTTTGCAGTGTGTGCAACAAGGGCTGGAAGCAGGTCGCACAGCAAGGATTCTTGCCTGCCAGCACAGGCACATAGCCTGATGACACACGCATATTGTAGGGTTGCAGGTCTTGCATTTTGCTCTAGCCTGACTGCTGATGTCTGCGTATTGGCCCCTGCCATTTTTTCAATGGTCATTTTGTGTGTTTATGTGTGCTGCAGGTGTGCTGCCCGCTCCGCTCCCACCAGGCCCGCCGGCCGCATCATCAGTTCCCCCCCCGGTGGCTTTGCCTCCAGGCACAAAGCCTGTGCTCGTGACCTTTGCCAAGCCAGCTTCAGCCCCCGCACGCCCAGCCTTGCCTGTGAGCAGCGACGAAGAGGAGGACACGCCCCCGGAGGACATTGCCAGAGCTTGTACATGTGTTAGCTTACTCGTGTGAGTCCGAAAATTGACATCGAGCTGGTACAACATGAAATCATTTGCTTATTGTGCTTTTCCAGTGGCATGCTGTCGAAATCGCCACAATAGTTTTCAATCAATCAATGGATCAAGCTCCAGGAGATTAAAGAATTCGAGATCTTCAAGGAAGCAGCCACTGAGAAGTGGGCTGTCCGATGGCTGCATCCGAAAGGAAGCCTGGTGCAGTACCTGCCTGAGGGCGCCGACGACTACAGCTTGTTCAGGTGCAATGAGGCCCGCCACGGGCCAGTGTCAGACATCTTTAGCACGGTAACATATATAACTACTCCTCTCATGCCAAACCCTGCAGTCGAACTAGTTGAATACCTCACTTAATAACATTACCCAACTAAGACTAACCAACTAAGTAGCCAAGCAACTAATTAACCAACTAAGTAACTAAGTAACAATTGGCTGACCCCACTACCCCAAACCTGCGCCCCTAAATTGGAAGCTGGGCCTTAGGTTTACGCCATCTTTACTTGATGTATTAATAAGCTCGAAATCACTAACGTGAAGCCCCAAGCCCTAACGTCAAACCTTATGAAGTCTAGTGTATTTCACCTCATGAACCCAAAACCTGATCTCTACTAGTGGCCCTCCAGCCTAAACATAAACCCTGTGATTTTTGAGACCCCAAACACAACCCTATAGACCCTCAGTCCTAGACCCTGGACCCCAAACTCTGATCTGAACCCTGTGCACTGACCCTGAGCCCGTGACTAACACAAATCCGCAGGAGTCCAATCAGAAGCACTTCGGGGAAGTCTACGCCGCTTCCAAGAATGGTAAGGCACCAGCAGTGTGGATGCCACGCCTGTTCCGCAAGCTCACACGCGTGCACAGCCACAGTGACAAGGAGGACCCCAGAACCCTTCCAGCGGTGTCCGCTGACACAACTTCCCCAGCCTCGTTTGACGCACTGGTGGAAGCGGAGGCTGCGAAGCTTATGGCAGCAGACTCCGCAAGCCAGAAGTCCTTTCAAGAACGGGTGGAAGAGCAGGCCCAGAAGTTGATGGCTGGCAGCAAGGACGCTGAGGACGAGGCTGTGAAGGAGAAGCAGCGGCTGCAAAGGGCTGCAAAAGAGGCCGCTGCTAAGCTGGCCGCAGACAAGAAGAAACAGCAGGACGCGGCTGTGGAAGCAGCAGCTGCCAAGTTGGCAGCCGAGAAGAAGGCGGAACAGGAGTCTGAGAGGTTGGCTGCTGAGGCAGCCAAGTTGGAGCAAGAGGCCGCCGCTGAAGAGTTGGACAAGGCAGCTGCAGCTGCCAAGTTGGCAGCCGAGCAAGAGGAAGAGAAAAAGGCCGCAGAGGCGGCCAAGTTGGCAGCCCAGAAACAGCAGCAGGAGCAAGAGGAGGAGAAGCAGCGGAAGGCAAAGGCTGTGCAAGAGGCAGCCGCAAAGCTGGCTGCAGAGAGAAAGAAAGAGCAGCAGGAAGCTGTTGCAGCAGCAGCAGCTGCCCAGATGGCAGCCCAGATGTCGACGCCGCAGGAAGCCTCTGTGGGGGGCGGGGATACCAAGGACGAGGAGGCGGCGAAGAAGGACTTGAGGGGGCGGGCAGCAGCAGGTTCTTCAGGCAAGTGTAAAAGTGCTTGTGTAGCTCATCCACACAGCCGCAATGTAGTTTCGTAACTTGTATCGTCATCATAGGAATTGCTATCGGTGCGTGTGCTTGCACGTTCTGACATGCCTGGTCCATTGGTATCCTGCTCTGCAGTTCAGAATGCGTCACATGAGCTATACTGCACACAGCATGGCGACTTATTGTCCTCCTTGCAGCAGAAAGGTAGTGGGTCAGCATGTTGAGCTGATCAGCTTATGCTCCATGAAAGGCTTCCCGAACTCCCCACCCACTGACCCAAACAAACATAAGCACGAACCTGCCTCACAGGAGGCAACGAAGAGGCAGATCGAAGCCAAACGTGACGCAGCCTTGAGAAAGAGGGCCAAGAAAGACGAGCTGCCTGATGATAAGTCCAGTGCTGGAGCCTCCTCCACTCGTGCACCGTCCACAACGGAGGAAACCTCCTTGCCACGTGTTCCGCTCCCTCCCTGAATTCCTGAGCTGAAGCGTCTAGGAGTATAGGGCCTGGGACAAGCTGGGATGCTACCAAGCCAAGGCCAGAAGACTTTAGGTGCTCCAAGGGCTAGCTCAACAATTTTCGGAGGCATGGGGTGAATTATTAGGGGGCCGTGGCGCTCTCGGGGGGGCCTCTGGGGCTTCTATACTCGGGCCAAAGGGGGAGCATTACTGCAGGAATTTTAGGGAAATTTAAGGAAATTTAGGGAAATTTAGGGAACTTTAGGGAATTTTAGGGAACTTTGGTGACTTTTAGCGACTTTTAAAGGATATTTGGGCCCTTTTACCTCTATTACTACCCTCTTATCCCTTCTAGTCCCCTCTTGTCTGCCCCCAAGGAAAAGCACGAAAATAAAGAAAGGGTGAAAGCGAAAACTAAGCACCCCTATTCTAAAGAGGTTCAGGGCTCAGGCTTGAGGTAGGGTTGAGGCGAGGTTTTAAGGCGTAGGGTTTAGGGTTTGGGCGTTTTGGGAAAGACTGTCTGCCATAATAGATCAGATCAGGGCCTGGGCATCTCAGATCATCCATCCGTGGGTGGCTCGTGTGTGCGAGGTAGCCCATGAACAGTCACGTGCTTTTCATGTGCATTTTGGCAAGGTGGTGTGCAGGCAGTGCTCTAACTGCCTAGACCCAGCACAGCAACTAACTACTTGCATAGAGGAGGATACTTTGGAGCCTGCTTGCATGCCAGGGTCAGCTGAGATGCGGCATAGTCGCTGCGCCCCAGACCCCACAGTTTTCTTTCGCCTGACCAGAGCAGTGTTGGGCTGTGGCTTCCAGTACAAATCATGTACGTCACATGCACTTGTGAAGGCTAGGTGCTCACTTGCGTGTTTTCTACAACTGCCCCGTACCAATCAACAGGGCGTAGGGTTTGGGGTTTAGAGAGTGACTGAATGTCATGCCGCAGCTGATGCTGCTCGCCTGAGGATGCTATGCAGCCACACGCACGCGAAAGGAAAAAGCCGCGTTAGGCACTGTCCGGTGTCAGCCAGACTTTAGCCTCACTAGTAGGTCAGCTGCTACGAGAGCCCATGGTACCCTGCAATGAGAGCATCAGCCCCTTGCTCAGGTCCTGCCTTCCTACGCCTGTGAGGCCGTGTTGCTCCACAAGCAGCCTCTTGCGACGCACTAGAAAGCCCACATGGGAATTGCAAGTAGGATTGTTACCCCTGACCCCCTAGCAGCCCCGCTCTCTAAAGTGAAAGGCGGGCTCAAGGTCTTGAGGTTGGGATGGAACGGGCTTGTGGATGAGGATCTAGTAGGGTGGCGTGTTTAGGGTCTAGAAGGCTGAGGGTCTAGGATTAGAATCTGAAAATGTCAATTTTGTTCCCCTTAAGTAGATGGAATATGGGATATGTGAGGACCTTAAGTATAATATACCCAAAGCCATATTCTATCTACTTAAGGGGAACTAGAGGCTTTCGCTAGGCTAGGGTTCGGGGTACGACACAGCAACATGTCCGTGCTCGCTCAGTGGAGACAGGACTTCATGGTCGCACTGCTCCAGCATAAAACCTTGCTTGTTGACAATCATTATGTCAGCTGAGCACAGACTGAAAATGTTCCTTGCGTTCAGTAGCACTTGCATACTTCAGGGCTGGAAATCTCACTCTACTGCAAACTTGCTTCCCTGCTGCCCCCGGTGCTAATAATCAGGAATGTCAGCAAGCACGAGTTGGCAGCTGCCTCCGAGATAACGAAGACGACCAAATCTCTTCTCGGCATGCGAGCACCTCGGCACGGAGCAGCACAAAGCTGCTAGTGTAAGAGAAAGCATTCCGGATTCCAGGTGCCAACGTGACAGGTAGTCATTGCTATTTTGAATTTCGTGCTAGCATGCTGCATTTCGCACTTTGTTGCCCCAGGCTGTTATCAGAGGACTTCAAGCTGCTCTCTGCTGGGTCTTCGGCTATGGACTTGAGAAGTTCATACCCAAGAACCCTTTGCAGCCTGGTAAGCCGATTCCCACAGAACTCGACCCGCCAGACGTGGATTCTAGGCCTCACCTGACCTGTGTGCCTTTCACAGCAAGAAGCCTTGAGTGCATCACGAATTTTATAATTTGATGCCAACCTATAGTTCATGGCTATTGAAATCCTTCCCTAGGAAGTTCCCCAATCATCAGATGCCCAGCTGCCTCTTTTGCATGATCATTGACGGGCTGAGGCACCTGACGAAGAGGCATTACCATTCCGCTCGCTTTACTCATTGGCTTACAGTAGCCTCAAACTCCGCTCACTGGCAGAACCTGAGGCGTGTCATCCTTCCTGGAACAATTACCGCCTAGCTGCCAAACGTGCAAATCTTCAACCTACATTGTTGGTAGCGGCCTTGTTCTCCCACGTGAACCATGGCCCATTCGATTCCGGCCGCTCCCACCAAATGAAAAAAGAGATTTGTGAGCACTACATCCATGGCCTCAGTTCGGAAGACTGGGAGGAGCTCAGAGAGCAGATAGCAGCAGATCGTTGCTGTGATATCAGCTCGGACAGGGTGCCGCAGGAGAAGGAGGACCTTTTGCAGGAGGCCACCATAGCTTCCCGTGGCATATTTGTGCCTCTGCAGGAAGCTTCTGTTGGTTCGCTTACTGGGATGTTTTGGTATAGTGGGAGATGGGGGGCGCTTGCTTATTATTACTGTTGTGTTGTCTCTCCGGTCCCGTCAGCATGTACTAGCCTGGGATTGAGAGCCTTCCATCTAACAGCGTAGCCGAGTATTTTGTTTGCACTGGTCAGATGTGCCTGTGCACGCTACTGTCCACCTAGCAGGGCCTTCCCAACTAAGTTACACTAGGAGGGGTCTCTACACCGTCTAGCTACAGACTGTGTTTTTTCCTGCACTAGCGTCCCCCACTATGTTGTAAACTGGGTAAGTGGCTTGCCCCAGCAAATAGATCGCCCATCGCCCTTGTCTATGGTCACAAGGCCCCAGGCTTGAAAGCCGCAACTCTCTTTGTAGGGTTTCGGGTCAGTAGATGTGTCCCCAAAGCAATCCTATAGACTTGACCCCAGGCTCAACCCTATATACCCATTCCAATCTCAAGTCTATCCTCTGATCTGCCAAGGCGAAGCCCAAGTCGTGGTTCCAGCTGCTTGCAGCCATGAGGGCGATCGATCAGGATTGGACCATATCCTCGGAAATTCTCAACCTGGCTGAGGCGTGGCGGCTTTGGGGTTTTGATTTCTGAGTCACTGCGGCAGTCTGTTGTTCCCATAACAGAAGAATTACCGCTCCATGTGCCAAGGAAACTGAACAAGATTGTGAAACCTGTGAATCTGCGTCCCGAAAACTGTTTCAAGCTTGGGGGCTGTATAGTATGTGTGCTGCTGTACGAACGCCTAGCTTTACAGAGGCTTCATCTGTTTGTTTTAAAAGGATGTGTGCTAAGTGTTGCTACGCATTGGACAGCAAAAGGACAGTGTAAGTAAAGGAGGAAAGTCAGGGCTCCAATTGCAATAATAGTGGCTGCAGCTTACTGGGTCAAGACAAACTTGTGTAGCGTTAGCGCCCTCTTAGTGCTTTCGGCCATGGGCTTGTGCAAGCTTAGTCTTCGCATATTCCAAGCTCTTGCTGCTGCAGCATGCAATGTGTGGCTCTTCCTTGTGCTAGACCTTGTACCCGTGGACACGGACAAGCGCAGAAAGGCCATGGAGGAGCGCTTGGACGCATGCAGTGAGGCGTGCCTCCTTGCGGCAGCTCAAGCGGAGACAGACCGCCGAAATGCCTTGCAGATGATTTCAGAAGTGCTGAGAGTAACCAAGGGAGCGTGGCGTGATCTGTCAGTTGGACCTGATGCACGCGTCCATGTCGTGTATGCTGCAGAGCTCAATACTGACAACATGTGGCGTGGATCCGGCTCCATGGAGGATGCGAACACAAGGAAACAGCTACACATCTTTCGTTCAGCTGTTCATGATCTGCGCGCGCTGCAGCAGTGCCTACCCAGCAGCGTGGAGCTGTTCTTGAGGGAAGCAGTAGACAGCGCTATCGCAGAGATGGAGCATCAGTGGACTGAGCTGGCAGCCTTTCTTGCCAGCCAGAACCACAGCCAGACCATGTCTAGGACGTAGCCCGCATCTGTGGTGCCAAGGCCTCACAAGTGATGCGTAGATGAGTACTCAGCTTGACCTGACTCTGACAATTTGCTAACAACTCTGTCTCACTGATGGAGCACGTCGCCGGTCAGTGGAACAGGGGTGGCTTGTTGGGGGTGGGCTTCTGATTTCTCGCTCTGCTTGAAAGTTGAGGGTCTGGGGTGTAAAGGTTATTAGGGTCTTCCCCGGGGGATAAGGTTCTGTTCACCGTTCCTGTGGCTTCGAGGCGTTACTACGGGTAATACATGTCAAGTAATAGTCTATCAGCAGTGTAGCAGCAGCTTGCTCCCAAGTTTGAATGTCTAAGCCGGACAGAGGCCGACGCTGAAAACTAGACCTTTCACCCCTGGAGATGTTAGCCCTTTGCTCTCAAATGTTGAATTCTTTAAGCCCTCAGCCGGAGATCCCCAACAGCCCCAGGACAACAACAAGAACATTCCATAATTTCCTTGGGTCGCTATTACAGCCGTCCTACTGAAATTGCCGGACCCCTTCAGCCATGTAAATAATGCTTTAACACTGCTATTATTAGACCAGACTCACAACTCTACCCTATGTTAATGTTGTGCCCGAGACCACCCTAAACCCAAAAACCCTAAACCCCAAACCCCAAACCCAAGGAAAATCCAGGGGGTGTAAGGCTAGAACCGGGGCGGAGGGTTGACCTGGGTTGAGGGCGTACCCTCAGAGGCATGGGATGCTTGAATGTTCTCGAGGTTTCCTGGGGTCTGAGGCTGTCAGGTGACTCGAGATTTTGGATCTTCTCTGTGATTTACCTATTACTGTGTTACAAACATCAAGAATAGCAGCCTAGCAGTACGTTGTGCACCTCGACCAAGGCTCATGTGATTGTGATTCTGTTATTGGTGTTACAGGCAGCTATCAGTACCCAACATCCTCTCGCATGAAAGCCTTCGAAACACGGACCAAGCCACGAATTCACTTCAGTATTTGCTTTTGGGTAATGTAGAGCTGGGGCCCAAGCCTTAACTTTCGAAACCCAAGCCCAGCAATGACCCCTATCAGAAATTGAGAGCGATCCTGGCCTTGTGTGGGCACTACGCACTCACACTTCCTTCCTTAATAAAAAACCCCACCCCCTAAACCAAACAGCTGCTTGGCAGGTCTTCGATGATGGTGGCGTGATGAGCGGCAGTGAGGGCGGCAGCGCAGATGAAGATGCGGAAGATCAGGAGCGACCTGAGAACGAAGACATGCCAAGGACACGTGAGGAGCTTTACAAGCTCAAGGAGAAGTATGGGAACAATCGAAGGCTTGCTGCGCACTTCTACCGCAATCGTGCCATTCAGCTGGAAATGAGGATGCTGTATTTGGGCGGAGCGCCCCTAGCTCGAGAATTCTCCTGCATGGTGAAACTTTTCCAGAAAGGACAAGTGCCTGGGGGCCTGTGTTAGTATTAGTGCTCTGGAACCCCTAGAGCCTACACTTACACCCTGAATCCTGAAACTCTAAACTAACCTCTATTTTCACAACCCAAAGCTGTAAAACCCTCAGCCCCCCAAAAGAATTCTCCAAACTTTAGTCCTGAAACCCTGCTTGACACAAAGGTGCCATGCCTGCGATGGCAAGCAGTTCGTGCAGTTGGGCAGGAGTGGATGGACACAGTCCTGGAGACAGCTTTTCTCATCCATGATGCAGACGTTCTGGAGAAGCTACAGATCACACTGCCCTTGCAAAGCCCTGACGCGCCACGTGAAGCTCATGTGGACCCTGCGCAAGGTGAGCGCTTGAATGCGTTTTGGAAGTTCCTGTGTGAGCTTTGCTCCAGCCGTTGCTGGAGCCAAATCCAGTTTTCCATGCTGGTGCCCCAGATCCTGGCCGGCATCTGGCACGAATCACTAGACATCCGAGCAGCCGTGATGGCCCGAGCCCGCAAGATTTGTGAGGCCATTTTGGCTGCGGAGGCCATCGTGTTTCAGGTCGAAGGATCGCCAGCCGTGACAAAGAAGACACGGGCATCACTTACAACCTGCCTGAAGGATGCTGCGTGGAATGAACTTCAGCTTGCCCGTGAGTGTATCTCGGTTTGCCGTGCTTGCAATTGGAGCCCTGACGGTCAACAGCTTCGACTCCTTACCCACAGGCTGTATGCAAGACCGCCTTCAACGAAGCACTTCCTAGAAGACTGCTTTGCACATCTGTCTGATGTGTCGAAACGACACATGAAGGGTATGACTATGCAGAGGTCGCCTGCCTGGTATGCATGTGATTCCTGGTAATTTCTTTCTTGCTTCGCTTTTCTCACGTGAGGGTTTCCAATGATTGATTCCCAGTTTGATGCCTACATCTTTCCTGAGCGCTTTAACAGCCAGCGAAAGAATTCCTTTAGGCTAAACACCTATGCCCGGACGCCCTCCATGTAAATGTTTCGGATGAACTGCTCAGGTGGACCAAGTACATCTACACGATGTCATCGCCCACTGTCCGTGAATCCAAGTGGCCTCAGCTGCGCCAATCCTTGCAGGAGTTTGCGCAGTACTTGGCGGAGCAAAGGCGACCTGCGCAGCAAGCGGCCGAGGCAGATGCAACAGCAGAGGACCCCAACCTGAAGCTCTCGGCCAACAAGAAAACGTTCCAGGTCGCGCAAACAATGCTACCTACGGAGCTTCAGGAGTTGCTGCAGGAAAAAAACATGTCGGCTTGGTTCAAGAAGGCGGGCACCGAGAGCAACCAGCGAGCAAGTGCTGCGACAGCCTGGCTTGCTGAACACAACGGCCGCTTTGAGCTGTCAACCTCCGCGTGGTCAGGCTGCTTGGCGGCAGTGGTAGGGTTGTTCGGACTGGCTTCTTAGGAGTTTTTACGAGGGATGCAAGCAAGTGAAAGTCTGGGAAGATTGAGAACCAGCTGAGCTAAGCAATCCTCAGCCCTCAAGATTTAAGCCTTAAAGCCTCCACATTGAACCTGAACACGCTAGGCCTTACTAACGCCGAAGCCCTGAACCCGAAGCCACACCCATAACCTTCAAAGCCCTAGACCCTAATCCCTAGACGACAAGCCAAAACCGCCATTCCTGCAATAGTCTCTCTTAAGCATCGCAATGGAGTTGCCGACATGTCTGCTTGTTTGCCAAATGTGCCAAGGAGCTTTCCTGAAAAAGGGCAGCGTATTCCGGCACCAGGACTCTCAGACGCACGTGCTGCTCAGCCTGGGTTTCCGGACATATGGGGCTCTGGCTTTGCGACTGGAGAGAAAGGAGCATGACGCTCAGGCGGGGTGATGCGGGGTGGTTTTTCGTCAGTGTTTGCTTTTTCAACGGCTGGCGCACGTGTGCCACTGACTGGGCAAGGCTATCTGAGTCTGACAGCCAGAGTGATCGAAGGTCTTTGAATTCGCCCCATTTCCACGCAAATTCTAAATTGTAACAGTGTTTTCGTCAGTAAACAACATGCGCTAGAATCCGGCTTCAGTTCGTCTACTTCATAGTTACCGGCCAGCAGGTCTACTTCATGATGGCACCTGGCCCCACAAATGCAATTTCTCTTCCGGAATGGATATTCAACCACACCGTTGGGGAATCGTGCCCTTGGAAAGCTGTTCCCTATCGGGTTGCTCAGCCTACGGAACTCCCGGAAGAGCTACATGATTGTGTATGTCTTCTGTGCCAGACAGGCCCTGAAGAACATATCATCCGAGCCGCGTTGAGAAGCGGCGTCATGCTGACCAAAGCCCAGCTTCACAACCTTTGGCAGGTTGCAAGATTCCAACTTCCTGGCCCCAAATGCGGGTCGGGAAAAAAAGGAGGCATCGTCAAGAAAGACTATGTCTTGGCAGCCCTGAGGTTCTACTTTCCTGATGAACCTGAAGACTCCGATGACTTTCAGTTCATGTTTGATTCTTTGATGGGCTCCGTCAAATCGCCAGAATGCTCCGAGGAAGTCCTTGCTGCAGTGCAGGGGCTGGACCCAGTCCACCAAGAAGACTGGCAAGACGTCAAGCGCTGTGCCTTGAATCAGCTTGCAAGCCAAACAAGGGACGCAAAGCCCCGCCATAAGAAAAAGGAGCACAACACAGCGGAGGGACCTGGAGACGCTGACGAGGCTGATGGCGCACAGTCTGCTGGCTCCAAGCGTTTAGCGCCAACAGCCAGTGGGCCAATGGATGCCACACCTCGCAAGGAGCCACGTGTGCTTGCCCAGCGCAAGCGCTACACACCAGGAGAGTTGCGCAGCCTGATTCCGGGAAATGGAACCCTTTCTGGTGTCTACCTGAAACGGATTCCTGGGAACAGCAACGGCAAGATTTACCAAGGTTTCTATGCTGCGAAGGAGACGGGTCTCTTGGTCTGTTTACTTTGTAGCCCATATCTGCAGTCATAGAATCAGGAGATAACGGCTCGCCAGCCAGACGTTTGGAACGGAGTTGCCTGCTCATTGTAAATTTACACTGAACCAAAATCCTGGCCAGACAATTATAGTTGAGAATGCACACCTTTGCCCATTTTTTTGACTGGTGTTTAAGAGTGATGATGGCCTTCCCGTAACTACCTGACCCCTAACGCCTGTACACCCCAAGTACATTACCAGCCAGGCTTTTGGATGCCCTAAGTTACAGCCCTTCAAAACCTGGCCCGTCAACCCCACATCTCAGCCTTCACGCTAATGATGTGCTCAGGTGATCGCAAGAGCTTGTCAGTTACCTGGGAGGGAGCACGGCGGCAGCTGACAGAGTATGAGGCATTGAGAGAGGTTATCACTTGGATGTGGGACACGGATGCTGAGCGCAACCCCGAACACAATCCTGATGACAGGCAAGGGTCCAGAAACTGTGCAAATAACCTACCCCCCGTGGCTTCTGATTTGATGCTTAATTACTGTAAATCAAGCTTGTGTTTTGTGTTGCGTTCACACACAATCAATCAACATGCGAAGGCCCACTGCGGACGGCATGCGCGAGGTCCTGTCTGGGTTTGACGCGAGTACTGGTTTCGTCAACACACTAGCACCAAGCGGCAGCCAAGCTGCAGCCACGTCAGCAGGTGGTTCGGCTGATGCTGCTGCTTCCAGTGCAGATGTATCATCGCCAGGCCCATCACGCAAGCTCAAGCGCAAGGCTACTGATTCGTGATCAATCACTCCCGTGTACTTCAATCATCCCAGCTAGCAGCTGAGGCCCCAAAGACACCAGGGTAGTAAGCGGAGTCCTTCAAATTCTTAAGAACTGGGGGCAGAACAGCTTCGCCAGCTGGGATCCTTGTTGCAAGGTTCACTGTAGAGAGCAACCGTCGCAAGAGAAGTCAAAAATGATGTTAGATGTGTCTGAACCAGACCACAGTAATCAGCCTTATCAGGAATCAGTACGGAATTCCTGGGAACGGATCATGTCAGCACCATTTCCCAAGATTCATGCAGACAGGAACATTCCCGATGCCTTTTTGGCTGATCTGGGAGGTTTTTACAGGATTTCGAGGCCTTGCTTTCAGAAGTGCCCCTCCCAAATTTACAGGTCAGACTTTATCCCCTTTTATCCCCTTTTATCCCCTTTTATTTCCTTTTATCCCCTTTTATCCCCTTTTATCCCCTTTTATCCCCTTTATTACCCTTTTAAGAGCATTTATCCCCTTCAATCACTTCTTGGGGGTTGACATGAGTAATCGTACTCAAGCCCCAAACCTGGGGTAATGGTCCTCCACCCCTGCACCACAAAGACATGATTGAAGGTTTTGGGATTAGAGGGCTGAGGGCTTAGGCTTAAGAAAACAGGGTCTAGGGATTAGGGTTTGTGGTTTAGAGGGTTGAGGGTTTGGAGTTTAGGGCTTCAGAATCGCAGCATCTCTCTGGCAAAAGTCGCTGTTCCTGAGCTCACAGCTCTAAGTAAGCTGAATCCGTAAAAACCTAACGCCTAAGCCCAAAACCCCAACCCTCTCAACAAGTCAGATCGAGATACTTTTTGTCAGGGAAGCGCTGCATCAAATTCTCCATGGTGCCGGGGTCCTGCATAGTTGGGGCTTGAGGAAACCCAAAAGGTCCATGTAGCTCCATAGTATAAGTATATACTTGGGCCCTAAAATAATTATGTAGGAACCCCTTTTGGCCCTGAGTATATATTGTATACCTACGCTACACCCTAGATCTTTAACCCTTAAACCCTATACCCTTAACCCTAAACTCTACACCCTGACCCGAATAAACCTTATAAACCCTAAACCCTAAACTCTACACCCTAAACCCCATAAACCATAAACCATAAACCCTAAACCCCAAATTCCACACCCTAAACCCTATAAACCCTATACTATATGCCGACATGGACCCTTAGGGAAACGCAGTTGCTGGGTCCAAGGTTACAGGTTACAAAGGGGGCCTCCGCCAGCTTCGGAGTGTAATCCCCTCCCCCTAATATTCAGCCCCCCCACCCTCAAAGAAGTATGTAGAATTATTATTAGGGTTTAGGGTTGATATTATGCCCCCCCCCCTATTAAATACTCCCAGTATGTGGTATATCAAAGTAAATGGGAATATTTAATATTACGGGGGTGGGGGGGTTTAAAGTTAAGGGGGAGGGGATTAAACTGGGCACTGCTGGCTGTTAAGGTCTGGCGTGTAGGGCTTCGGGTGTCAGGCTTAGGGTTTAAGTTTTTGTTGGTTTCAGGTTGAGGTTTGGGGCTTAGGGTTGTTATCATGGGAGTATATGGATCTCCCGATGAAGCTACGTTGCGAACCCTATAAACCCGAAGCATAAACCTTTAAACCCCTCGTGAAAAACTTCCCCTCAGGGTCCAAGGACCCA